AAATGTTTGAAAATGTTTCCCCAAGACACTTGATTAATCAAACAAATAAGAACAAATCTTATTGTTTAGTTGGTAATTTAATGACAGACAAATATAATTCCAGTGATTTAAAATATTAAAATTTCTTATACTTCTAGCCAAAAGATCAGCTATTATCAAAATACTTTACTTATTCAACTGGCTGATATTAAGGCTAATAATATTAATATGTACTTCTACTAGCATTAAACCCAACTCAAAGTGTAAAACATGAGACAACATTGAGAATGAAATAAAAAATAATGACAATAAAATGGAATTGAAACAAGATACCCAAATGTAAAATCTTTCTAGAAAAAAAAAAAGTACAGGATAATCATAATATTTTCACACTTCCATTTAAGTTTTCAAGGCACAGAGAACAAAAACCTCAGGATTTGACACCTTTTCCCCCTGGGCAACAAAAATATGGGTGATTTGCTGTCACAAAGCATTAGAGATCCAAGTACGGGTACAAGTTTTAAACTGTGATTGGTACTATCGTCAATTTCATAGTTGTGGTCGTGTACGTAGATTGAAACAACTCTAGATTGTAAATCAGCTATGATTCAGCGTTAACCACACACACAGGACCAATATTTTAAAACTCGTACTCATACTCATCGTTGGATCTGAAGGTCCCTATTGTTATCCTGCTGGTGTAAAACTTTCACTTTTATGGAACACTGCACATTTGACAAATATCTCGCTGTAATTACTATTACTGCAATGAACATAACCTTTACTTAGCCTCCGTTGCAGATGTCTTGTGGTGTTCGGGGAGGGATCCGAACCAAACACCACAAGACGTCTGCAAAGGAGGCTAATCTTTACCGAGGTGAAGTTGAGATTTTCTCTGAAAATACATACTAACATTGATTAACACAGTCGGACCACATTTGTTATAGTTAACACTGAATAATTTAAAATCATTAGAAAGTAACACTAAAGAATATTACTGAAATAAAGTGAAAATACTTTAGCTTGGAAAATATCACATTTCTGATCATTTGAGTTTTATGCAAAGAAAGAGAAATATAATTTGTGTTAAGTGCTGTATAACTTTTTTTTTTTTTTTAAACATTTTTGAATGACCAAAAATATATTGCATTTCAAAACTACTTGGCTATGAATTTTCAAACTAGACATAAATGTGATCGGACAAACAACCCCCACTCCTCCCTTCCCCCTTCCTTGAAAACATCATTTTAAATAACTTAGGGTCATTTTTTAGCCAATAAATGAATGATGTCTTGTTTTGATGTACATGATCATCAATACACTAGTTGCATTAATTTTGATGAATACCACTGTTTTTGAAGACTACAGAGTGACTTATTTGCAAAGCGTTAGCCTCGTTTATAAGTCAGCTATTTATGGATCCATTAAAAGTCCATGGAATTTCAAAACATGGTATTGTTCAACTTGCACAAATTTTACATTACAGTTGATTTTTGCAATTTTTTACTCGTAAATGAGGCTAAGCCTGTGAAGTCTGTAGTCGTGAAACACAGTGGTATTTACAGTACACACCGAATTAGGAAAAGGGACTATTGCAAATCTAGATGGTCTATTTGGATTAGACTTGCACCTTTTTACGATGGCCGATTTCATTCATTTGGGACTACTGACACCATTAGTGTTTCATGACAAACCTATAAATAATGACAGATGTTTGGAAGACTCTGCATTTGAAGGAAAATAATAACCTTGAGTGGTAGCCCTTGCGTTGTTAAAACTGAATTGTAGCATTAGAGTTCATCTCTTAGTAATGTGTATCTGTTGTAGCTTGGTGAAAGTTTCTTGAAGACAGTTTCAGGAGGTGATGTTTTTGTTTTCTTTCTCTCTCCTGATCCACTTTCTCCAGGTTGTTTGTTGTCAGTGGCAGCTCCACCTTGTTGGTTGTCTGTTCCTTGGTCTCCTTGTCCACCTTGTACTGTTTCTATCACATCCTATCGAATTAATATTTTAAAAAAACAATTTAGAATATTAATAATACACTTTGAAAACCTTAAGAACAACTAAAAACAAGCAAAAGAAACCAACATTTCTAAGTCCTGCTGACTCCATTATCAAGGCTTTAAGATTAAATTATGCAAGTCATTCACTATAAAAGTAGCTGTGCTAAATTCACGTAGTGTTTAAAAAACGAGTAGGATTGTATCAGGTATAAAAGCACAAGGCATAGCCGATTCTCCAATTCGACCATAAGCTTATGAATTATTAATGAGTGTTTTGAATTTAGTTAAAAAAGAGCACTTTGGCACTTGCATAATTTAATCTTAAATTCAAAAAAAATTTTTTTTGTAAACTGTAGCACATTAGTGGTGACAGTATCTATTAATTAACTAGTAATTTTGACCATTATTCCAAAGAAAAACTGCATCAAATAGAAAAACTGGGAATAACAAATGAAATGAGAAGTTGATACAATAGATTTTCTAAATCTTTTAACAGTGCAGTACAGTCACATTGAATTGTTGTAACTGAAGGGCTACATGAGAAAACGGCCTAAGTGACTTTTTAATTATTACTATTCCAAAATCTAAACAGATCACTTACCGGCTTTGGAGTCTCCTCTGGGCCATGGTGAAATTCACGATGTAGTTTACCAGAGTGAAGGTCCGCTACAAATTGCTTTAGTTTCCCTGGAATCCTATGTGAGAACAATTGATTTATCATGAGCATTGAACTGACTGGTTTGGTAACTAACATTGCAATATAAACAGTTTCTGCAATGACGTGTGTAGTTCCAAAAAATATACTCTGGTACCCCTCCCCCAAAGATTGAGACAAATGGGATATACCATATCTCTAAAGGATGGATGGTCTGAACCCAATGCCCAACCATAATTTATGAAATATTAGAGACCTTTAGGATCAGGTTTACAGCTAACCACTTATATATTAAACTGCTAGACAAACACTTGGCATCAATATGGTGGCTCTTTTAGCAACTTCGTTATAATGCCTTGCTAAAGGTTGAAAGTGTGATGGAAAATACCTAACCTTCCTCTCACTGCAGTTTGTGGTACCTAGCAAGACTGTCGTGTTAAAGGTTTCTATTGTGGGAAATGAGCCAACACTGACCCTGTCTATCTACCTAAAGGAGAGTAAGGGTCTAATGTGCATATCAAGTGATTTTGAACTAGTAGTAGTAGTAGCACTAACAATCTTATATTACCTCATGTCTTCAAATTTATTGAAGAGATACATATGCCTGAAGCTATCAATAGCAATAAGAGGAAGATCCTGTTGATAAACAAACATCAGCGTCATATTACTTATTAAAATCTTCCATTATTTTAATATTGATCACTTAAACTAGATCATCTAGTGTATTATTTATAAAATCTACTAATTCCAAGTACTAAACACAAGTGAAAGTTTTACATCAGGGCCTGTTTGTACGAAGGGTGGAGAGCGCTATGAGATGGATAATCCTTATCTAGTGGATAAGTTGATGCTGTTATCCAATAAATGTATCCAGCGCATAGTGCTATCCACCCTTTGTACAACTGGGCCCATATCATTGCGAAATATCCCGGCAATAGAGTTGCTTCTTTGATTCATGGTTTACTTACATTTTTACTTTTTCCAAGGTGATGGAGAGGATGGGAAAACTTCAAACCATCAGCAATTAAGAAATTAATTTTTCCTATAACAGGAAAATAGAAAATAGAATGAGTGTACCATTAAAGTGTACAGCATCTATTAACTTGTCAAGATTGAAAACTATTACAGCAGTCAATTCTTGATAATCGACATACTGTAGGGATACCCCCTCCCCCCAGTCAGGAAATTAATTTGGTCAGAGTCGATCCATAATAGTAAATCTGAGCCTGGAAATTATCAAGATACTTAGAAAAAACAATGATCAAGAAAGGACACCCAAGAAATCACTGCTACAACTGGGGAACAATTACGCGGAGCCAAGGATGTCTATTTCAATAAGAAGTGAAATAGTGAGTAACATGTATAATATTATGATATATGGATGACGTCTTACCTTTCTCATGAATAAGTTGCTTTGCAACTTCAGTTTTAAATTCTTCAATGCTTTGTGTGTTCTCTGGATTGTAAAACAGGAGTAGAAATGGAATTCCTTCTTCTGTCAGTTCCTCTGCATTTTCAAAAGTGATTTCACGAACCAGTGGGATACACTTATCACCAGCCCATGTCTTGAGGTTCTCATAGTCTGTCAGGGAGCCCATGTATACCATATCAGCTTCTGGTCCCTTCTGAAGAGACAAGAATATACAATAATATCAGAAAACAGCACTGAGAGTTTTTGATCAATGGCAGACTGTAGAATAATAGGAGAATTAGAATTCATTATCTTAATGAAGAAAAAATAATAATGATCTATACACTGATTTAGGTAGATAGTCAGGTAGTATTGCAGACCACACATGCATATGAAAAATATTTAGATAAAAGGGGTCTTAAAGAGGAAATGGGTGTGGTCTATTGATTTAAAAAATTTGGGAAAACGTCAAATTTAAACACTGAGTGTTTAAAAGGTCTTCAATCCGAATATCACACCAAAGGGGTCTTAAGAAGTAAGACTTTTTTTGAGTAAATTTTCTTCATATGTATGTATTTTCCCAACCAAAAAATTAATAAACAAACAAAGAAATAATACTCAGTGAAACGACATGGTTTGTGGAAAAAGTTGTGGAAATTCAGCTCAAACTAAATCAGTTTATTTCAAATATTGTCTAAAAAAATACCCATCCAATGATTCAACAACACCTCTAGCCAACAATTTGATATATGGCCTCATTTTCCACTGCTAGAAACAATTATTATGGTACAGTGGAAATGAGGTAATACTATGTTTTGTAAGTCCCGTGTGTGCATTAGCAAAGCAAACTGTTGAGCTATCAGTACATTGAAGATTACTGTAATTAATCTTATTTTTACTTTTTAGCTTTCATAGTATATCTATCGTGTAGTTCCAGAAAATATCCATACCTACTCACAGAGGAAATTGGAAATTCTGGAGGGTAGGGTGTCAGAGAAAGAATAAAATTAAAGAGTTTGTATGGAAGAAAATTGGAAGTTTCCTGGGGATAGGGGATCCTTTTACAAGTTCCCTCAGTGGTGGGGGTATGGATATTTTCTGGAACTACACAATGAAGACTGTAGCCTACATTTTCAGGTCTGTAGACGATATTATCCCCTGTTTTTCTTTCATGAGCAGATACATCACTAAAATAAAACAAACCAAGAATGTTTCACTAAATAACACTCCAATAGATAGTACTATTAATAGTAAAATATGAAACATGTCTAGAAAATAATAGTCCTTCTTCACATGCATAAAATTATATTATACAATTTGCATAAAATGCATAAAATACTAAATAATAATAACATAATAATGATCTACGCCATAATAGAGCCATATCTTTAGACCCTATGTTAATTTGTCACATATGCCAAATTAAATAATATATAATAAATAATACAATAAATAGTGATAACTAATAATACTGCTGAAATTCTGGATTACAGACTTGACTATACTACTCAGGGTCAAGCATGATATTCAATCCATGATAATATTTGAAAATCACTAAAACTCTTACCCAAATCCAACACGGAAATTACAGTCATCTCTGAAGTCCTCTGCAACCTATTTTATCATTTACATTCAATAAGAGATTAAATTAATTTAACAAAAAAATTTTTTTTTGAACCCTTCACTTTTACACAACTTGGGATTGCTTTATACTACTGGGACTGGTTGTACGAAGCCTGGATAGTGCTATCCAGCAGATAAATCCTTATCAAGTGGATAAGTCGATGCCGTTATCCAATAAATTTATCCACTGGGTAAGATCTATTAGTTGGACAGTGCTATCCAGGCTTCATACAACCGGTCCTTGTATTACTGATAAGCAAACATACAGCCTGGGTATGTTCACTTAAAAGCCAGGGTAAATTTTTTGAATGGATGAATGGATGGATGGATGGGATATAAATAAGATATTTTATGCTAAGTTTGAAAATTCTACCTTTTCAAAGGTCTTGAAGTTTTCACTATCCCTTTTCTCAAAGTATGCTATGAGTGTCCTCTTTTTAGGCTAAAACAATAAGAAAGCAATATTAACAACACTAACACCCGTCAACAAAATAATAACTCATTTATATCTCATATAATTTGATATTCCATATTGTCACTGTATTCTCTTAGGAAACATCCCAGCACTTGCGGTACAGTATCCCTTGGTCTACCCCCATGAAGGTTTAGCCCTCAGTGGTTTAGACCTGATGCCTAACGTTTGTCTTATGGTGCATAATGTAGAACTTTTCTAATATTATTCTACTAAAACACTTGTCCTGAAAAACTCAGCCAATTTTCGTGCTACATGGCAAATTTTCCAGCGGCCATGTTTTTCCCCCTGTACAATTAGGCACACACTCACACATCTATTAGCCCTGCCTAGCCCCTGCAAGTGGTATATTACCCATCATCCCATCATAGCTAAACCAATCAGGAAGCACATAAGGCTGTAACACTAACAAAAGGTCTATTGGGAATGATTTATTAATATTATATTAATATTATAAGAAATGATAACACAGTTAGATGAACACCAGATACTGTCAGTTATGCCCATTTGAAATAAATCAGCAAAGGGTCTATTGGTGAAGAATTATTCCAAATGAGCATAACAGTATCTGGTGTTAATCCAACTATCGTAGATAAATGACACCTTTATTTAAACTTAGATAAGACATCAAAGGGTATTCCAGTCAGAGGAAACCAAAAGCAGCACTGTTATAATTAGTCTTTGCCAGGGCTGCTAACACAATTTATATATACTAGATAGACCATGTAATACAATACTTACATCAATATTCATGTCGTTCAAGGAATGGAACTCTTCTACAATACTTTTCATTTGATTTCTGAGGTAGTTAGTGAAAGCATCTACAGACCTCTGGCCTCTGTATTCTCTCCTTGAAGACTATATATTACATAAAAATATTCAGTTTTTGGAGCTTGGGGTTGTGATACTTCTGTACAAAACTCAATAATACTTTAAATCCAAGTATGGCGACCAAATATTTGAATAATAATAGTGTTCTGGGCTGGCTAGCCTCATGTTCATGTGGAAAAAAAAGCCTTTTCGCATGTAAAAGCAGCTAGTCAGGCCAGAATAATAGTTATTCAGACATATATTGGTTGCCATATTTTGATGTACAGTAGTGTTCCCTCTTTTACTCTGACGAAGGACTAGTGTCCGAAACATCAGTAACGTCAGTTTTTTCATCTTTTCACGGTGTATAATTTACCCTTTTATCATTACTGTTTCATTAGAAACACTGACGCAGCTCACACTAGGTTTTAGCTAGTTATCTCTTCTTAGTAGTGTATACATAAGGCTAATTATTCAAACATGAAGCAGCTTGATTCAACACACCTACCTCTCCATTTCTCCAAAGTTTCAAGGTAGGATATTTAGTGATACCAAACCTTCTACCAATATTTTGATGTGCATCACAATCTACTTTGGCAAACTTCAGTACATTCTTCAAATAAAAAATAAAAATGTATCAAAATATCACGTTCATTTAGTTATGCTATAAATAATAACTTTTTCGTGACATACAAGATACAAAATACTATTTAGGCTTTGCACCATCACATGATAGTTATTAGGAGGCACGATAATAGAGTCTTATTTCCCTGTTAAAGATCAAACCAGATTCAATATTTCCTGCCTCCTATAGTGGCTACAATAAATTATAATGTGATGCCACAAAGCTTGGCTACAATAATAGAATTCTGTAAAATGTATTCAAAATGAAATATGGTTATCTACTTGCGACAAAGCATTTGGATTGCTCCCATAGAATATACCAATAACAATGTCCATATGATGCTATAACACTGAATATATCGTTTTAATAAGTTTTGTTATCATAATATTAACTTACAGGAAATTCCTCTTTAGCAATATCTGCTGTCTGATCAAATACAGGTGCTAACATCTGACTAAATCTACACCTGAAATAAAAAGTTACATTAAACATTTTTAGCAACAAAGGTATTAGATAGAGTAAAATAGATAGAGTAAGACTAAAATGTTTACTCTAGAATGACATCCAAGAATCATTACAAATGCATATATGGTAATCTGTATACACCATCACAAAGTTAAGAATTTGTATGTGAAAAAACAAACTTAATTATTGAAAATAGAAAAGAAAAAAAGAAAAATAGGAAGGAATAAAAATGATCATTTTCTATTTGATGTTGTTTATTGGGAAGATATTTGAGAAGATGCTTGGGATGGTTTGATCTGCTCCATGTATAACTAGGTCATAAATATTACTTAGGTAAACCACATATCACATCAATAAACTAGAAATAAAGAGTATCTTTAGAAGTCAGAGGTCTAGAAAATTAAGGAAATGCAACTACTGTACATGAAGGAAGTTAAACACTATGTATCATATGTATGTACATGTACAAAGTCATACTATTGATGAGGATAATCTAAATTACGACAAATTTCAGCATTTCTCCTTCAGAATATCCAAATTACCTAAGTTACTAGCATTAACATTTTAATAAAACAGATGTCAAACAATACAGAAATTAAAGAAAAAATTAGAGAAAAAATTAGAGAAAAACATGAAATAATAACGAGAAGAAACTTGTTAATTCTTGAATAAAGGGGTTTTGGGAATAGGCAACTGAATAGAGGTGAAAATATGGGGTTTGAAGTACTCTAATTATTGATTTTGGACATAATGGGATACTGGAATAGGAGACAGCATTGTTAAAATATAGAATATCCCTAACATTCATGTCAGACTGACAACCAAAATTTGCTAATTTGCTAATTTGACTTTCATATGAGTTTTGATCCAATTTTTGTTTTGGGTTAACACTCAAAACCTTTTTTAAACAGCTAGAAACTGATGTACTATGATAAAATGCCTGTTTGAAGTGGTATTTTCAATTGTACAAAGATGTTTTGTTGCATTTGTGTTAGAATGTTTTGTCAGGCTTTTTTATAGAAAATATATGGGAAATAAACAAATGAAGGCCTAAGCCTCATTTTCGAATAAAATTTTTGCTTTGGGTTAACACTTTGATTCCACTTTCATCTCCACTTCCAAACAAGTTAAACTTTCTGAATAACAAAACTTTAGCCTTGTACAACAGCCTTTCTTCAAGAAAATAGTTTTTGGCGCTCACTGCTTGAATATGAAAAGAATTCTAGAGCATCGGTAGTACAATTCCGAAGGTCGTGGGTTCGAATCCCAGCGAGGTCGGAAATTAATTTTTCCGAATTTAATTCCAAGGGCTTTCGCCCGGAATATCCTCGTTCCCAAGCACTACAACTTACCTATATTATCTTCTAAAAGAATTCTCACTTAACACTCCCATTTTTAGTTAGCCTTTGCTCAGTAAATTGTTTACAAATGTTTTCTTTTCTCTTATAAAGGCCCATGGTATAATAAGGAATGTAGTTAATACAAGTTGATTAAATGTCATGGGTTTTGGTTGAATAGATGAATACTATAATGTACAACCAAGATTAATGCTGAGCAAAGAGAACAGCAAAGCTGGAGTTTTTTTAGTCATTCATCAAGTGGCTCAGTTGGTTTGGTTATAGAATTGAGATGAAAGTATTCATTTATATGGATATAAGACAAAACAATAGCTATTATTATTATGATGCTGTTATTAAACATCATTTATATTAATGAGAAACAGGAAACAACAAAACTAAATGTTTAGATGTACTTTGAAAACATCTTGGCATCTGGTTTTAAAAACTGGTTTAAACTCATTCTAAAACAATTTACAAATCTGTAAATAAATTTATTAAATGACGATAAAATTATCTAAAGAGTCGAGATACAGGTTTAATAGGCAATATTGTTTTTCAACTGATCCATTTACTCATTTTTTCAATTTACTTTTTCTCATTTGTTTGATTCCAATCAGTTGGAGCAAACCTTTATTGAAGATTAGATCTCTAATCTAATAGCATCTGAGGTGTTAAATATATATAAAAATGGAATAAATAAATAAATGAAGGTTGTAAAGGTTATGATATACTGTAATATTTATTACAAATAGCTTTAGAAACTAATCACTCACCAGTCGGCGTAAAAATTGATAAAAACTACTTTATTTTCAGCTAGAAAAGAACAAAACACACTTAACAAACTATTTTTTCTAACAAAGTGTGAGGATAGTTTAAAGAGAAGGGGGAAATGCGAGGAAAAAATAGTTGATATGGGCTGTCTGCCATTTATGAATAACAATTGGAAAGCCGGCATCAATTATACATGGATGTATATGCAGAGGAACTCCAACGATTCTTACCAACAAATTTATCAAAAGTTTCATCTGTTAATTGAACCACATTAGAACACTGAATAGGACAGAGGTAGGAAATTATCTGCAAAACAAAAGAGAGGAGTTTTAACTGGATGTTTTGCGAAACCCGTAGTAAACCCTCATGCATCAACAAGATGGCTTCAGACAGCGTCAATAAAGCGGCTTCAAAAAGACGTACTGGAAATGAAATATCCAATAAAAACTAGCTTACAATAAGGTGACTTACTATTAAAAAAGCCAGCAGCCACATCCGCAGGTGAGTAGCCATTTTATAATAAGGAAAAAACAGTTAAATGTAAGGAGAAAAGTCAACCAACTGATTAATAATGTTTTTCTCCTTTGGTTATTATTGACACGGCAAGATGTGAGTGGTCTGTTCTACACATGCGTACTCAGGCACTAGTCACCCACGTGGACTTGCTGACACTAAAAATAAGGTCGCTTTTGATTTGCTTGTGGCTGACCTATTGCAGATCTTGTATTTTACCTTTGGAGAAGTTAATGATTTTAGACAGGTAAGGAAAAGTTGGTTATGACTCATTTAATTTCCGCGAACTTCCGGTAATGGCCGAAGATGTACGCGTTTCCGGGAGATTAGGAGCGTTGCGTGACGACCGACACTAAAAACTGATGCGAGGGAGCCATAACTGATTCCATAAGTAAGAGTTAACTACTGAGAACAAAGGCAATGAGCCATATACATCCCGAGGGCCGCAGGCCCGAGGGATGTATAGGCTTATTGCCGACGTTCGAGGTAATTAAGTATTTTATTTTCTCAATTGAGAAGGTTTTCTATTAAATGTTGCTCATTATAAATGCGAAAGTCTATATATAGTTATTAACCGGGTTAATAACTAACTATATATTGACCTCGCATTTATAATGAGGGTTATAACAAAAATAAAGCCTTGTGAATAACAAAGAAAACCGTGTCAATTGAGAAATAAGTCGTAGTTTTCGCTCGTTTTTGACAGAAGACTTATTATGGAATAAGTCATACTAAGCTATGATATATCATTATATATATCAGATGATATGTTTATACAGTATGTGGACCCGAAGTGGTGTCCATTCAAAGTCTACACAAACACACAAAAATCGAGTCGCACAGCACTTTATGCATTAACCTAGCCTAGGATATAAATATATACAACCCACCCCCTCCCATTCCGGCCCCCATAGCCAAGATAAGAGAAAAATGAACCCTTTTATTTTATGCCTGTAAAGTGCGGAGGTATCATTTAATACGATTTGTTCGGGATATAAACCGATAATAATAATAATACTGATAATAATAATAATAATAATAATNAATAATAATAATAATAATAATAATGATAATAATAATTTATTTCTTGAAAAACGCACAACTACTAAGTCTCGATGCTTTTTACAGGTATTGGAAAAAAATGGAAATATGTAGGAAAAAAATGAAAATATGTATATATATATCGAAAACATATTTCAAAAAAACATATATTACAATAAATAAATAAATAACTAAATAAAAAAGAAAGTAAATACGGAAAGTGAAACTTTGAGTCCCTCTGTTTGGCGGTAACAGTTCAAAGACCAAGCAACTTGGTTAACTTGGTTTGAATTGCTTCTTTTTTGTATCCAATTTTCAAGAGTCATTTAAAATAATAGAAAATTAATTAATTAATTATATGGATAATGTATTCAAAAAAAGATGAGGTCAAGGGACGGCCGAGGGGGTAATCTAAAGCTCATTTGATAACCCTCGTCCAACGGACCTCAAACACTATAAGGGCCAACTGAACATTTATATAGCAAAAACGAAGTAAAGTTTTCCATGTGGGATGAACTAGCAGCCCTAAACATGAAAGCCTACGCCCAAAAGACGACAATTCATGATGATTAGTCATGATAGGTTTGTGTCCCGCTATATTTCACGTTTACACTAGTGTTATTCTCCCGACACTAATCGTAAAAAATGCAATATTGTCATCTGCGCATGCGAAAAACAGACCTGCCAATGTGAATATGACGTCACCATTTTTAAAAGGCTCCGTTTTAACTCGTGGATACGCTCACGCGTTGACCCCTAGAGTCGATTAATGATTTTGAATTTTTTTAATTTTGATTTCATTATTCAGTTGAAATTTACAACGTTAAAAACTAAGATATGAAAATTCCAATCAACTTTAAATTCAATATACGACATTTTGATTGGTTAATCAGTGCTAACACAGCCGAAAGACCAAGAAAACATGGCGGCCAGAAACAGTTTTGGCCGTGTTTATGTGCCGGGAAGGTTTTTACCTGATATTATTCGACAGGAAATTCTTCATCTCAGCAATAGCGGATTGTCCAATAAAGCAATTTCGCGACAACTGAAAATTTCTAGTTGGGGAGTCCAGAAAATACTTCAACATTATTGACGACATGGAACTGTGTCTCCATTTCGCTCAATACGGGAGCGTTCAATGCGTGTACCTTATGGCCATTCGTCTTTTTAAAATAATTGAATTATCGATTTATTCAAATTGGCCCCAATTTTCGATATTTTTATCAATTAAAATTAAACTTTGAATTCCATTTTTTCAATTTTAGAGGTTTCGTTTAAATAGTTGAAAAAATTGACAGATACAGAGAGCAAAATCCCACAGCTTATGGCCATTTAAGGTTTTAGCAAATTAAATTGTTAATTTTTTTAGTTTTTGAATTCATTTTTTCATTTTTTGCGTTAAAAAGACTATCGTT